CACTCTAAGAAGGGGTTGGATCACCTGAAAAAGGTGCATGTTTAAGATGTTTCACTGGTTCGGCACAGCTGATTTTCATTGGTAGCTGATTAATTTCTGCTGATTTACAGTGATTTGAAGTATGTTATTAAAGCACAGAAACATCTAAGACCCGTAGGATAGTGTGTCTTTGAGATCAAGGCTGAAAAAAAAACAATGGCTGATTCTGAATTGGGAAAATTGTAGCTCCTACCTCCTGTTCTTCCTCCTTATGAAAGGAGTTTCCCACTTGTCTGCTGAATATGGCGACCGTGTGCTTGGCTCGTCATTATGGGATAGAAACACACATGGATGGTTGAGCCGAAAAGGGAACTACAGCCCTTTAAAAAAAATAATAAACTACAAAAACACAAGTTTTACAAATGACACTCTTCATGATAAAACCCACAAAATGTTAAAATTTAAAGATGTCCACAATCTCTTGCATGTAAAAAGGATTGTGGGAATCTGTATAGTTCCTATCGCCACAATGGAACGTCCAGAGGTCCATATGCTGAATGTACTATTGGTAGGAAGCATCCTGCTTCTTCTTCCTACCTCCTTCCTAACTGCAAGTTGTATTCAAACAGCACTTATGATGGTGATCACTGACGCTCTTTCATTTTGGCTGAAATTTCTTTATCAGTGGGCTACTGACCTAAAAGACCCACAGATAAAGAGTTCCTTTCACCATCTCACCAGAACACAACCCCTGGAAAATAATACCTGACTTAAATCTGAAAGTAATTCCAATAAGGTTGAATGCCTCTTGATTTTTTTCTCTTGTTTCAGGAATAAATTACCTGAAACCTTCCTAGAAAAATGTTGTAAACTAGATTTTCAGCTTCTAGATTTTAATTGAGATCCACTCCAATTAAGATTTTTTTTGTCAAAGCTGTAGAAAGTTGTTGAAAACATTTCATCCAGGTATCATATTTAAATTTTACTGGAGTATTGGAAAATCTCTTACACTGGTTCCTCATATGTTTGCCTCCTGCAGATTCTACCCAGGTCTTGTTTATCCTGTCCTGCGCTGCTGTTCTTGTTGCAACCTTTGCCTTCATAACTGTCGTCGCCTGTCGCCCTTGGAAACAAAGAAAATCACAGGTACTGACCTGATAATTTACAAAGTTCTCTTGTAAATGTAGCAACTTTTTATTATTATTATTTATTTATTTATTTATTTATTGTTCTGACAATGTTTTTCTGTCAAATTTTAGTTTTTCTTGTTTTTTTAATCTGTTTTTACAATGTTTTTAAAATACCTAAATACCGTCAGTCATAATAAATAAATCCATATTCCATGCTGTAATGTAGAGCATGCCTTGTCATATTAATCTTTTATTAATTCTGTGCATTTAATTCTTTAAAATACAACAAGAAAAAAATAATGAGTAATACCATAAAACCACAGCAAATTGAAGTAGTTTTTTCTCTGTTGCTTAGTATAATATGGTCTAGTATATAGAGGTGTTGTATTATATAATACAGTGTGGTGTGACATATTTTAGCATGATATAGCCCTGGTAGCATTCAGTAGTCTTTTATTTTAAGGTCCATGTAGATCATTACCAAGTTGTGTCAGGATGAAGTGCTGAAGTTGTTCTCAAATAAGGCTCTAGATGGAAGTGAGTGATCTCCTCATTAGATTCCCTTTTCAATGGAGTTGACAGAGAGGTTCTGTTGGATATGATCAAAGTTGGCTCGAAATACACCACATATTACACTTGATAATTGAAATGTGATTCATTTGTTGAACATCACAAGACTGGCTATGGATTTTTATTTTTTAAATCAATTGTCAGACATGCAAGTTTTCCAGGCTGATGTCTGATCATTTCTTTGTTTCAGGCTCCTGCTTCCAGTAACGCTGCATTCCTAAAGGACCAAGGTCGTGAAGGTCAAAGTAAAATAATTTTGTCCTTCTCCTCTGTGGAGAAAGGAGAGCAAGAGCCACTCATCCTGCAGCATGGAACCCAGTACGGTTCTTAATCCCCTAACTGCTCCTGGATTTGTTCTCTTTGAGCCTCCTGCATCATGTAGCTCTGTCTACTCAACATATATGATACTCTGTGCATGACCAGGATTATCCTGTCAAATAAAGTTGAATTAGTTCCTGTGTGTCTGGGTTAAAAAAAAAACAAATTTGTCAAGCTATGAAGGCAAACTGAGCTTTGCAGTTGTTAACTGTTGATAATAATAAAGTCAGATTGCTAAGGTTGAAATTAAAATAAATAAAATAAATCAGCTCAGGTTCAGTTTATGTTTAAACACTGAGTGTAATAGAAATGGAAACATATTAATAAATGGGTTCCGTTGAGTGCATATAAAAGGTCAGTATCTTGTCTTCAGTAGTCAATAATAAGAGTGATTTCTGTTTAGAAAATCAGAAGCAGTCATCAGTTAAGGAGGCATTTCCCAAACTTTTGATTCTATAAAACAATATGTGGCAGCCTGTCAGTGAGGTTCGGTTATGCTTCACCTACTTCTCATACTCTAACTAATATTCAGGCAGACTGTACGGTCCAGACCGTACAGCTTACAACAGCACACATGTAGAAGTAGATTTTTCCAACATTCTCAAAGCCTCTTCATGCCACCAACTAATTTCTTTTCGTTTCTTAAGCTGATGATTGTGGAAATATTTATGTAAATGTCAGCATTATTTATATAGCACATTTAACAGCAGCTAAAGTTGACCATATTGCTCTACAACTGCATTATACGTGCAATAGATAGGTAAAACGATGATTACAAGATAAACAAACATTTAAAAAAGAAACAAATAAATAATGGTAATACATGACGCCTGCTTAGCTTGGGTTGAAGGCCGGTGCAAAGAAGTTTTCAACAACAACTTAAAAAAAACAATAGGCTGGGCCATTTTAACATTCAACAGAGTGCTCTACCTGAGCCTATGTTGTATTTCTATGGGTAAATTTATATGATGTCTCAAGATATTTATATTAACGAACTCTAGCTTTTGCTAGTTTACCATGTTTTCCTGCATGGAAAGTCTGCTTAATTATAAATTTTTCAAGATGAACGATTTGTTACATCAGGAAGATGAAAGATTTGTTACATCAGGAAGTTCTGACCTTGCGGTGAGGTCACTAACATCGCATCATTTGGCTGAATGACTGAATGAGAAAGCATAAACTTAGCTTTTAGATGCCACCGTGGTGAAAACATGATTGACACAATAAACCCAAATTGCACAACAAAAAGCATTTATCACACCTGTTCACTTATAAAATGTGTCTGACATTTGATTTTTCAGTTTTTCCATTTTTGGTTTATCTGGGGTTACTTTTTGATTAGAATCTAAAGTGACGGGTGCAGACTAAATGAGTCTGTATATTGCAAAAACGTTTGGCCTCCATGTGGTTCCATGCTGTCCTCTAGTGGCATTTGTTTAATTCAAACCTGTAAAGAATAAAGTAAAGTCATCCTTTAACAAATACCCTAAAAACAGTGCAAAAAATGTATACATAGATACATAATAAAAATGGATACAGTTCTATTATAATTTTTATCATTCAAAAGTACAACTTACTTCCTTCCATCCCTTCCATTAAAACATATTCTTCTCTTCTCAAGTTATGTAATAATACTCTTAATAAGACTCAGAAACGAATCATATGTTTAATGCTTAGTTTTCTATATGAATAAACACAAATACAATAATAAGCTCTAATGGTATATATTACTAGGATTTAAAAAAAAATGTTTCCGGTTGAAATATGAATTCCTACCATTATAAATACCCCCAGCGTTGTCTGATGCACAGTATGCACAACTTTTTCTTTTTTACATTTGTTTATATAAATTTGTTACTAATAGACTGCATCATGCCTACATGAAAAATATGCTTCTAGGAATGTGAGGCTGATCCAGAGTTCCCCCTGATTGCCCCCCAGTTCCTCCACATGTCCAGGTTCTGGTGTAGCCCTTTCAAACTTCAGCGCTGACAGGTTTGATGGAAGGCAGACATCAAACCTGTCTGACTGCAAAGATTGGAATTTATTGTATGATTGTCTGACTAGAAAGAGTCAGTGACATCGTCCTACAAACCTTTATTGTGAATCTTTACATTGGTGGCATGTCTCTAGGATACATCTTGGTTTGGTGGAAAACCAGCTAAAAATAAAAGCCTAGTCCATATTTGCAAAAGACTGCCTCCTTGGAGAGGTTACGCTGAGAAGCTAAACTTAGCCCTTAGCCGCTGACCTTAGATTTCATAAGTTTAAGGTAAGACTCAGCAGCAGAATTACCTACCAGAATTACCTACAGCATTGCTGTAGATGCTGACCCCAGAAATGTGTCAGCATCTACAGCAAGTAAACTAGCTTCCATTGGATAAAATTTTAATGCCAGGAAGTATATTAACAACCAAGAAAAAAAAAATATCAAACACAAATATTTCTCATCTTAACTTTAGAATCTTTTAACAATTGCTGCCTACCGGTAGTTGAGTTTTTAGACTATTTAAAAGTCTGATGCAGTTTGGACTTCAAAAAGGTTCACTTCACCACATCAAATACTATGAGATCCTGGTTTTGTAGTCTATTTATCCTGGTTTATAAATTGACATTTTAATGTATAAGACTTTGACAAAATAGTGATTAAATTCAGAGGTTGAAAATAAAACATCTCAGAACCCTTTCTGAACAGTTTCTGATGGCACCAGCTTCCCACTGGACCTCCTACCATCAGTTAAGCATTGCTAATACCACATAGCGCACCTGTTGTTTGACCCGAGCCGACTGAGCCTGAAGATCCCACGCAACCTGTGCTGGTAACAACACACGTCACACCTGTTTCACCAGCTTAACAGATACAGGACACCAGGGGGCTCTAAACTGATGAGCAATCACCCTTAAGCACAGACAAAGTTCATCAACGTTCAATCTCCCGGGGTTAAATACAGAACACACGTTATCACAACTGAGGAAAAAAAACAAATAAAAGACAGAAGGAAATTTGATGTGCAACATTGATTTATTTGCTCATTATGTGAGGTCAAAGCATGTAAAAAAAAAATATATTTAATGGCACTTAAACATCCATGGGAAGGCCATGAGGCAATATGGGTTATGCTAACACAGAAAAGCTTTAACAATAGGAACTTTTACATAATAATTTACATTCAAAAAATACATACTTAAAAGCTGTTTATGGGTTTATACATTTTCTACAATGTAACACACAGAAACAACATCTCAAATAAAAATTAATTTACAGCACTATGAGTAACAGCATTGGGTGGGGGAGGAGAAGGCCAGAGAGAAAGCACTGGAAAGGACTCAGAAATTAACTAAACTCCACCGGCCATCAGGCGGACCACAGGCAGAGTTCCACGTAGTATTTCTACCACAACATGAGGAGGTGTGAAACCAGCCTAATGATTCTGTAAGCTCATTAGGCAGACTTTAATCTTTTCTAGCATCCACGCAGCAGTGAGTTCCCCAGCAGCAAAGTGGTCCAGGATGTGAGGGAGCTGCCGAAGAAGAGGCGGCTTTAATGCCTGAGGGAGCTCTGCCCCATGAAGGACTCAGAACCCTCACCCTGACCTGTAAGGAGCTCATGGTGTCCTCAGAGACCGACTCTACCTGGCCTTCACACATCAGCTGCCTCAACATCAATAGGTCTGATCATCTAATCATGCAAAGGTGTATTATGAATATTATTTTATATTTTTAAACATATATTTAGGACTTTTAATTATTTCTTTGGACAGTTAGGCTTTTATGGACATCTGACAACTTCATGGGTTTTTAAAAACAAGTATAGTGGGTACATGTTTCAATATGCTGTGGATTTCATATAAATACAGACTTAAACATCCAAAAACACTCATTGTTTGGATGCATGTCATTTGACAAGTTTCAGATTAAAAAAATAAAATAAAAAAATCTCTGCAGACTTTTTTAAGCTTCTGGCTGAATGTTTGATCAAATATTATAAGATCTGGTTAAGCTCACTTATTTGAATCTAATTAAAATGGGTGTTCTCCCATTTCTGCTGTAGCTCCCTGTTCTGCTAAAGGTATTCTCCATGATTCCTGGTTATTCCAATGTTTTCCATGTTTCAGTTTGAAAGTCATCTCTTAATACCTAGGAAGGGTATGCCTGCCTGTGTTTTGGCCCTCAATAACAACAAAATGTGTTAAACCGTTTCTAAGTTTGGTATAATTATTAAAGCATTTCTGTTGTCCTCTTTTTTTATTATCCCATCCACTTCAACCAGAACCACAACACAAGGCTGCCCCCACCATGCTTTGCAGTTATATTCTTAGGCCTGAGAACTTCAGTCAATTTCCCTACATCATACAGGGAAACCATTTCATTGAGATGGCTAAATTTTGGACACGTCCCAATAGGACAAATGTCCCAAACCCATATCGAAACCTCTGTAGAATTCCCTTAAAGAAGGCAGACATTAAGCTTCTAGAATGGCTTTGACCATCTCTGATTACAGAGATCCTCTAATTTCCAGACAGAGGCTCATTGATGGATATAAAATATGTTCTCTCTGCCAATTCTAAAGGAACATTTTTTTTAAATTAACTCACTTCTGTTTATAAACAGTTTCACTCTAAGGCTGTATGAGTTAGAGAAGACAGAATAAATTTGAACTATAATCTTGTTCTCAGACCCAATGATGGCTGGAGGTTGGCAGCAGAGCGAAGCCCCAACCGTAACCCTAAACAGGCCCCTTTGTGAATAACTGGGTAAAGATGATGTAGGCTGTTGTCTAACCAGAAAATGGGCTTTAGAACGAAATCATAAAAAAATCTAAATTATTCTTACATTCATGCTGCTGGTTAATTGAAGCTAGCAATAATATACTGCTCAAAAAATAAAGGGAACACGTAAACAGCACAATATAAGCTCAAATCAAACTTCTGTAAAATCAAACCATCCACTTAGGAATGTTCATGCTGTTGTGCAAATGGAATACACAACAGTGGACACAATAAGCAATTAGCAAGAAACACTCAATAAAATGGTCTGCAGCCAGGGACCATAGACAACTTCTCAGTACCTATGCTTTCTGGCTGATGTTTTGGTCACTTTTGAATGTTGATGGTGCTTTTACAATCATGGTAGGATGAGACAGACTCTACAACCCAAATAAGTGACTCAGGTAGTGCAGGCCATCCAGAACAGCACCTCTATGGCAGGAAGGTTTGCTGTGTCTGTCAGCATAGCGTCCAGAGGCTGGGGGTGCTACAATGAGACAGGCCAGTACACCAGGAGACGTGGAGGAGGCGGCAGGAGGGCAATAACCCAGCAGCAGAACTGCTACCTCTGCCTTTGTGCAAGGAGGAACAGCAGGAGTACTGCCAGAGCCCGGCAAAATGACCTCTATCCGGCTACAAATGTGCATGTGCCTGCACAAACAGTTAGAGACCAACTCCACAAGGATGGTATGAGGGTCTGACATCAACAGATGGGGGTTGTGTTCACAGCCCAACACTGTGCTGGATGTTTGCCTTTGCCAGATAATGCCGGGATTGGTGAATTGGCCACTGACGCCCTGTGATTTCCCAGATGAAAGCATCTCCACATTGAGCACATGGGATGGATGTGACAGAGCTAGAGACACTGTGGAGATTGGTCTGCTGCCATCAAAATCCTTCAGCATGACTGGTTTGGCAGTGGGTCAGTAATGCTGTGGGCTGGCATATCTTTAGAGGGCAGCACACCCTTTCATGTGCTTGGCAGAGGTAGCATGACTGCCATTAGATACCGAGATGAGATCTTTAGAGCCCTATTGAGACCACATGCTGGTGTGGGTGGTCCTGGGTGCCTCCTAATGCAAGACAATGCAAGACCTCATGCAGCCGGAGTGTGTCAGTAGTTCCTGCAAGTAGTTCCTTAGATCTGAATCAGATTGAGCATATCTAGGACATTGTGCCTCGATCCATCAAACAATGTCACATTGCACCACAGACTTTCTAGGAGTTAGCAGATGCTTTAGTGCAGGTGTGGGAGGAGATCCCTCAGAAGACCATTCACCACCTTATCAGGAGCATGCCCAGGCATTGTAGGGAGATCATACATACACACATATTTTGACCTGTTTTAAGGACATTAGATCACACTTGGATCAGCCTGTAGTGTGTTTTTACACTTTCATTTTTTATGTTACTCCATTGCCTCCATTGGTTAATAGATTTTACTTCCATCGATGATTTTGTGTGATTTTGTTGTCAGCACATTCATCTGTGCAAAACAAAGTATTCAATGAGAATATTTCATTCATTCAGATCTAGGATATGTTATTTGAGTGTTCCCTTTATGTTTTTGAGTAGTGTACAGGTTTCACAGTAAGAGTGGTCAGTCGCTTAAACGGTCATTTGTTAAGCTGATGGAAATAATAACACCAGGGACAGAAACAAAAAGCTCTAAACCTTTGGCAGCCTCTCCTGACATATCTCCAGGGGGCGCTTAAATGCCCCCCTCCCAAAAACCTCAACATTGCTCGACAGCCAGGAAATGACGTTACCGGCGAGATAGGAGCTGCAGTTTGCCATCGACTGGATCTCCACGGGCTTCAGGACACGGTCCCAAATGTTCACCTGACTCAGCTCACCCACAAAAGCTTGTCCAGCATCGAAACGCCCGCCTACCACATCCTGTGAGGGTCATAAATAGCAAAGTCAGCAACAGGAATGCCAATGTTAAGGGGGCGGGGGGGGGGCAATAAATGCTTTGTTTTAATTGCCTAATGTTTCAAGGTCAAATATAGTCCTATGGCAATCTTTGATGGAGGCACGAACTTTGAATGTTGAAAACAGTGTCCAGAACCCCTTTTAAATGAAGGTCCGTTCTGGTCGTACTTCAACAGCTAAGATTAGATGAGAACAAAACATTTTGGCTTGCATAAAACAAGTATGGAAATAAAACTGCACATCCCCCTGGACATCCTCACAGAGAAGCACATGGAGGCTGCATCATGCAGTGGGTAGTCTATTCTTCATTAGATACAGAGAAGTTTATAACAGTTGATAAGAGGTGAATGGAGATAAATACATGAAAATCCTGAAGGAAAATTTCCCTTAACATCCTGGCTAAAGATACGATGAATAATTTAGATCAAACTATATTCATGTGTTAGAATGACCTAGTCAAAGTCCTGAACAAAATCTGACCAAGAGTTCAATGAAAGACTTAAACAACTTTGAAGGGTCTGCTTTACATGGCTAGCAGAAGCTAATGATGATTTTATACAGTACTGAATCAGAATCATTAGTGGATTATCATTACTTCCCTTCCCTCTGCAGGATATCATCTACAGTATAAGGTATTTAGGGTTAAAATTCTCTGCATCCATCTTAAAAAACACATGGAAACCACTTGGAAACCCAGAGAAAAAAGGTTTTGAGGTGGAATAAGGTTTTGAGCTTTAAGTTGAGCCTGTTTTCAGCTTTCTGGGGTTCAGGGTCCAAACAGCTAACATTAGCGTCAAAATGAGGCATAAAAGTAAAACTTTACAGAGAAACACCAACCAATCAGCATCCAGTAGTAGGTCCTCTATTGTGACCAAACTCATTGCTTGAGATGATCAATAAGGGTCTATTTGACAAAGATAATCTGATTAAATACAAAACCCACAGACTGAGGTTCAGACCATCCCCTTCACGGTTTCTGGTTCCATCAGTTTAAAGTTCTCCAGGTCCTGAAGAAGCAAAGCAGTCCCAAACCACCACAGTACCACCACCGTGTTTGACAGCAAAATTGGGTCCTGAAGTATTGTGTCTGGTTACACCGGGTCCAAATGTAACATCACCCAAACAAATATAGAATATCCAGTTTTAATTCTTCAGTCCACAGAACATTTTCCTAGAGGTCTGGATGATAATCAAGATGTTTATTTTTGGCAAACAACAGACATGCCTTTGTGTTCTTTTGGGCCAGCAGTGGCTCTGGTCTTTTGGTAGAAGAGACCATAATGTTTTGTTTCCCAGATATCTTTCAGACCAATTCATGCTGTGAGATACAGTAGGTTCCTTTTAGGTGAGTACTTGATTGAATAGTTCAGGGCAGTTATAATACCTCAGTGTGGAAGCAAAATCTATGTAAAGTTACCAAACAATGTGGTTAATCACATTTAATTAATCTTTTAATCCAGGCTGGTTTTGATTCTATTCTATTCTATACTTAGTTTGTTTTTGTTTTTCTTTGTAAAGCAAATTGTCATTTAAAAGCTTAAAGGAATAGTACACCCAAAACATGATTAGCCTTCATTTTCTACTCACCTCCATGCTGAACAACACTCTGGAGTACTTTTTTGATATCTCAAATGCATCTGGAGATCTGGGAGACTTCTTGCTGTCTGCTGACATTCAAATAATGGAGGTCTATGGCGCCCGAGACAGAAAGGTCCACAAAAGTCCACAAAAACTTGTCAATATTCCTCCATACTGCTCGTCCAATGTAATCCAAGTGTCCTGAGTGGGTAGCATCCAGAATTTACTCGAAACGAAGTCATTTAGAACGTTTTAGAGCCTAAACAGTAGTGTATAGGATTTCCTAATAGCGCCCCCATGCGCGCTCACGATTCTACGGAAGCCGGCAGACCAAACCAGCGCATTCAGCTCGGCAAAGAACTCATGCTCTTCCTCAACACTGAAGTCCTCAGACATTTTTCTTTCGTTGTTTCTTTCTTTGCACAGGTAAACAGCACATTTCTTCTTCTACGCTTGCATTATCGGCAGACCAGACGCTGAATGCGCACTTCCTTCCGGTTTGGTCTGCCGGCTTCCGTAGAATCGTGAGCGCGCATGGGGGCGCTATTAGGAAATCCTATACACTACTGTTTATGCTCTAAAAACATTCTAAATGACTTCGTTTCGAGTAAATTCTGGATGCTACCCACTCAGGACACTTGGATTACATTGGACGAGCAGTATGGAGGAATATTGACACGTTTTTGTGGACTTTTATGGACCTTTCTGTCTCGGGCGCCATGGACCTCCATTATTTGAATGTCAGCAGACAGCAAGAAGCCTCCCAGATCTCCAGATGCATTTGAGATATCAAAAAAGTACTCCAGAGTGTTGTTCAGCATGGAGGTGAGTAGAAAATGAAGGCTAATCATGTTTTGGGTGTACTATTCCTTTAAGTTTGAATTTACAAACTGATTTGAAAAATCAAAAACAGAGGGAAACTGTCATAATTTTAAGGCTACGTAAAATCCCCTCCCTTTTTCTCTGCTTTTAACCAGTACTGTTTATGCGGGGATCAAGCTGATATCACACCCTAAAGTTATGGCCTAAATCAGGAATGCCCAAAGTTGGTCCTCAAGGGCCGTTGTCCTACAATTTTCAATATTTCTCAGCTTCAGCAGAGCTGATTCTGATGATTACAGTTAATCAAAAGCCTGTTAATCAGCTACAAATGGAAATCAGCTGTGCAGGAGCAAGGAAACCTTCAAAAACTGCAATACAGCAGCCCAGCAGGACCGATATTGGGTATGTCTGGCCTAAATGAAGTATCAGAAAGATGAAGATGGTTTGATTCTTTTAAAAAATCATTTGTGTGGTCCTGAGAGCAGAGCTGCATGTGGTTACCTGCTCCTGCCCCAGGATGATGGCTCCTCCAGGTTTGATGGGGTGCCATGCCGCAAGGTTGTCTCCGGTTCCCAGTTTCTCCCCGTCCTGGTAGGCCTCCCACTGGCCATCTCGTGTGGTCCAGCAGATGCAGATGTGGTGCCATTGGCCGTCCCTTACTTCCAGGGGAAGCTGGGCAACCTGAACCACAGCAATATTTTACGTTATAAGGCTTTCTGTTTTATTCTGCCATCTTACTCAACATCAGCCCGGCTGCTTGCCTTGTCATTAATGAGCAGCTCGATTGGGTTGTTCCCCCACTCTATCAGCACAATCTCATTAGCTTGCCCTGGGACGCCATAGGAGAAAGGTGTTCCGACACCGGGGCTGGCACTGGACTTGATCCACATGCAGAGGGTGAAGGCATACATCTCTGGCAAGGTCTTGGTGATTCGGCCATAGAGGTAGTTGGTCCTTTGAGGGAGGGACAGCTTAAACTGCTCAGGGGACTTAAAGTCTCCCCCACCTAGTTTAAAGGTAAAACAAAAGGAAGGTTAGAGCATTTACAGGTAAAACCAACATATCTTTATGTATTAGAACTACAACTATTCTCAATTCCAAACTTGTTTGTCACAAAACAATCTGTGATATTTGTCTGCAAAGAAATAAATATGGAGGTTAATAGAAATGACTGTGAGGTGATGAATCTCTGACCATCCTATAGGAAGACATTTAGGTCCTCTGTACCTTTCTCCAGCTCGCTGATTCTCTCCACCAGTGCGTTCAGGGTGCTCTCTGTCTTCAGCCTATAAGCGGCCGTGGCGTTGGACAGCTGGCTCTTCTCCTCCTCCAGGCTACTGACTTTCTTCAGGAGCTGTTTCTCCAGCTCCCCGAGCCGACGCTGAAGCAGGTCGCGGAGTTCGCTGGGGAACGAGGCTCCGGATAAGTTGGCCCTCATTTGCTGTTGCTACAGAAGGAGTGGAGGAGATCATCAACAGGAAGTACACAAGGTAATCAGGTGCATTCAACCAAAGGAGATTTCCAAGAGATGATTACATCACCATGCTTGTTGCTCTTACTTTTTTTTTATTATTATTTTTTAGTTCTAGATATAATTCTGGTTCTTAAGGGTTTTCGGTATCATTTGAGCCATTTTCTTTATATGAATGAGGCAAATTAAGAGTGATAGAAGGAATACATAATACATAATAAAAAGAGGGGAGGGGTTAGCTCTGGGGCATAACAGCATTTATCTTTTATTAATTTTTTTTTTTTTTGTCTTTTTTATCACATTATAACCGAATGACATGTTTGGGGACCAGGGAAGAACTTTTAACTCAGAAGATTGCAAACATTCAGGTACCAAAAAACAACATTTAAAATCTTTTTTTTTTTTTTTTTAACCACCATTACAACTAAACCTTTCCAAAACTTCATGACCTCAAAGCTGCCCAGTTTGGATGATTAGTGGCCTCTTTCTGAACCGCCTTTGAACCTTGAAGCACACCTGATTAGTGTAGCCCTTCTAAAAATACTTATTCTGCAATTAATATGTATGATTATTCAAATTAGAAAAACTGCTTTATTGTGTTATTATCGTTATTATTGTTACAAATACTAATCAAACAGCGGTTTTACGCACGGGATTTGTGCTGTTTTAAGGCTACTGGTGGCAATAGGTTACCTCCAGGTTCTCCAGGCGCTCTTTGAGCCCCTGCATGGTTTTCCCCAGGCTATCTATGGAGTCGTTTGGGTCTGTGGGGACGTCTCCCATCGTGTTCTGCTTCTCTTTCCCCCACGAAGCCCCCTTTCCGTACTTCCTATCTGTAATGGCCGAGGCGCAGAGGGACAGCTTGGTGGTCAGCTCGTTGATGGTCCCATGCTGCTTGGAGATCGTCTCTTTCTGTTGGAGAATCGTCTCCCGTAGCTGCATGACAGTGTTCCGGAGCTCCTCTTCCTGACCTCCGACGCTGAGGTCCGGCAGTAATGTCACAGGGCAGCCGACATCACCGCTGATGGGTACTGCCCGGCAGATGAACCGCTTTCCATCATCAGGCTGAGCGCTTAGCGCGCAAAAGCATAATAATCCGCACAAGAGTGAAAACATCCTGGTTCGGTCAGAGAGAACCGACCTGCAGGGTGAAACCTCCGAACTTTGACCCCAAAACCCCGCAGTTTCTTTGCGTAAAACTTGGTCGGCAGGAGGTCCGGTCTTTACTGCCGTTTCCCTCTGAGCAGCGCCATGACCAAGGAGCAAAAGCAAGAAAATCCGATCAAGTGTGAGTCTGTCACTGTAAGCCCGCTAATGTTGCCCGCACTAATAAGACTATTTCTGGCGCAGAGAGCGCGCACAGTGTGGTGCTGAACAGACAGCTCCCAACGCCAAAGCGGATTACCAAAAAAGGTGTCTGTGAAAAGACTGTGATTGGTTGGATGGGGCTGACGTCACTTCCAGCAGTTTACCTGTTCATTGGTGAAGTTTATTAGATGACCAAGTGTCCCTTTTCCATTTCCAGTCTGGTTTCCAGCTGCTGTATCTTCAGTTCCTAAGTGGATTAATGTCCACCTGCTGTAGAGCAGCCTGGAATGAACCTGAATTATTTATTTATCTATAAATTTTACAGGATGACAGAAGTGGTTCTCTTTGAATCGAAGGTTGTAATCAAAACTCCCATTCTAGGTCACATACAAAAAAAAAAAAAAAATCCCAGATCTTAATTAGTAAACTAGACTGACAGACAGTTAGACAAACAGAAAGGGTTATATTACAGGGTAGTGATTACAGAAATAATCAATTTCAGCTTCAGTGGTTGTCGCAGTACATAGTCTAAATATTTTTTCATTCATTTATTGTCTCTTTTTGAAAATATAAAATACAAATCACGTCTGGATTTTAAAGTAAAAGTCGTGTTGACCTGAAATAATGTTTAAAGATTCTTGGTTGAATGATCAAGCTAACCCAAGGTCCTGGACCACAGATACCTTAAAAACTGAACTGATGATTTTGCATACACTTTATAGACATCAATCCAAATACCAGTGATAATACAAATATCACTGACTAAAGCGAGGGGACCGTTTACTAATAATAATATTAACATTGTGAAACCACTGTTTTCTGGCCACCCTGGGCAGATTTCCATAAATCACTACTATCATTGATGTTCTCCGCTCCTGTAATTGCAAAAGTACACAGATTGACGTCGAAGGCCAGAATTACACCCATCAGAACATGGCAGTTCTGGAATAAAGCCCGCAGTGAAGAAACAGCGTGTGGCAGTAAACAATTAAGCCCTGTTTGCGCGCCTCACTGTAAAAGGTCAATAAAGCCTGGTGTGCTGAGGGGAAGACATACCACTGTGCTTTGCTCTCATGTACTTCATCACAGGCAGGAAGGGATTTGTTTTCTTTTTAATGAAGTGAAAAGTGATGGAAGCCTCTGCTATCTGATTTATCAGCTTCACATGTTTCAGCTAAACACCTGAGGGCTAGTTCCAGCCAATTAAAGTCAAACTGGTGTGTCATAGTGACTCAAAGTGTTTTTGAAAAATCCCTGAGGATATGGTTGTTTGGGAAAAGTTTTTAACCTCATCTAAAAATATGTTAGTGAAGCCATGTTGATAAATGTTCATGTAAGAAGAAAAGGAATGTTATAAAAACAAAACATTAGAAGAGGATGGTGGCCTGAACAGCTGAGATGACCTACATGGTATCTTCTGTAAATGTGACTCATTGAATATGCTGCACATCTTCTATAAGTCTGTTGTGGAGGGAGTGATCTCTTCCAAAATCATCTGTAAGGGTAACAGCATCAGAGCTAAGGACTTAAAAAACCTCAAGAAGCAAATTAATAGGGCCAGCTCTGTTCTTGGAATTCCTCGAGAACAACTGGAGATTATTTCACAAAGAATAATTCTTCATAAAGTGAAGAAAATTATGTACAACAGTGAGCATCCTCTTCAGAAGATATTTAAACTTCAACATCAGCATCAATAGGGCTTCTCCAGATCCGGTGGAAGACAGACAGCAACAGAAGATCCTTCCTGTCTACAGTTATCAACACCTGATTAAAGAATAACTTATGAGTTATTGCAACATTTAATTTCCCTTTGGAAATTAATAAAATATTTTTCAATGAATTGAATGATACGCGCTTTGAGAACCCTGTGTGTGTTTAGTGGGGGGATGTTGGTAATTGATCCATAAGACCTTTCAATCAGGTTTCCAGTGGGTGCTAGCTTCAGAATGCAATGATTACGTTAAAATTATAGAGCATTCAATGCCTGCTATTTAAGGTTCAAGCTAACTAGAACAACTACATACTTTTCCTTGATAAAAAGCACAGACTTCTATGCATTGTCTTGGGATTTATTTTAATAGATGTCGAACAAAAATCTTGCACGTTCTGGTTCTCTAGGGGGCCCTTTAGCACGCACTTTGGCGCCTGAGAGGGCACTGGGGGACAGTTTAGCACATGTTTTAGCTTCCAATAGGGCACTTTAGCATACGCTTTGCAACAACTGGGGCACAGGGCCACCGCGGGGAGGGGGGCAATATAAGGTAGGAGAACAAAGCTATTTTCCCCAATAGAAGTAGAACACAAATTTGGAAGTGAAAAACTACCTGAATGGTGCAGCCTCATTCTTCACAACTATCTTCTCTAACTTATCTTGGATTACCTTTGTCTGCTCTACAGCTGCAGGCCTTTACTAAACATGACTATGAAATAGTTTAAGCTCAGTAGGATCAAATGAAGAGCTTCTATGAAGAATAGTTCAACTGAATTTCTCAATTGGTTCAGGTGTGAACTTTAACTGGGCCATTTTAACCCTTACATCTGCTTTGATCTAAAACTGGAGCATCAAAATCAAGTCCAATACACCTGAATCTAATAACTTAATTACCTCCTCAGCATGCAGTTCAGTTCTCCAGAGTTCAACTAATGAGCTGATTATGTGACTTAGGTGTGTCAGAGCAGAAACAAATCTAAAAGTGGCAAGACACTTTTGATCTAAACCATTCATTGAGTATCTGGCTGGACATTCAGGGATGGTTTCCTGCTGGGTTTCTCCAGGTTTTATTCCAGGATGGTCCTGGATTAAGTGTTTCTGTCCCAGCATAATACCGCCACCACCTTGTTTCAATTATGATGTACTGTAAATTTTTTGTATGGTTTGGTATTTATCTCTCTTAAACTTAAAGAATTGTTTCATAACCTCTAAACAGAACTAACACTTCCTCCAAGTCTGCTGGGTTCATTCGTCTCTATGATGCTAATTGTTCTCTAATGTTTAGATTAAGTTACAGCTGGACTGTTTTTTTATCCTGTGACTTCTAAAGGTAGATTGTTGTGTTCTAATTAGGTTAAAGGGTGTTAAATAAAAAGTATATTTTTTTAAATTAACATTTTATGACTTCACAACAACAGGCTTGTTTGTCCTGTTCTGTTATGTGGGGAATAAAGGTAAGATTTTTAAAAATGAAAGCATAAAAACATGTTTCCAGTGTGTCATGCTGTCCCGTTTAGGTTTCTTTTTCCATCTCTAAGAATCAAATTGAGCATGAACACCTCCAGCTGGCTGAAGACAGCGACAGGAAGCTTTCCAGATGCCTATAACTGTGTGCTCCTTTGATTTGAAGCTGAATATTAGACCGTGACATCACACCTTTTTCTGGGAACTGTGAGACACAGACCAAAGTTACCTGCCCGCCACCACCAAAGAGAAGTAAAAGAAGTCCCCCCTCTGGTTGCATGATGAATGGTATGAATGCTATTTTCAGCCCTAATATTTCTATTTCCTGGTCGTTTAGGGTAAAACACAATATGTTCTTTTCATTTGTAGATGTTAGAAAAAGTATATTAATTAGGGTCTGAGTGTGGATGGGGCCTTTAGATGTATGAATGGATTATAGGGTATTGCTGATGATTCAGACTCATTCTCAAGGAGAGTGCACTCATATCTATAGAGGGAATATTGCAAAGGTGATCTGGATTCATCATAAGGGCATGAGCAGACACTGAGAAACACTAATGTAATGGACAGATGAGAGCTTCCTGGTATCAGTGTGTCATCCACTCTGTGCGTAGGATAAAGCCCCCATCACAGAATGAAAAAATATATAATAAATTAAAACCACTAATGAAACAAACAGGACAGTGCAATAGGGCAGAGACTAACATCTTTTAGCAGATCATTATTACTTAAGGGAGCACTGCGCAAAAGTGGCATTATATGTCAAATTATCTCTTACATGATGTATGACACTCGATGAAAGGAGAATCTCATTCTGCAGCTTTTTTTTTTTTTTTTTGCCACAGGCCTCAGTCTTTGGAAGGATGTGAATAAGATAATATGAATGAAACCCTATTAGAAAAGCTGGTGGGTAGAAGAGGAAACTGAGATAGGCTAAGATAAATAATATTCTGGTTCTAATCAAGAGTCATAAGAACAGGGCATTATATCTGGAAGCAAACAGAACAAGAGGAAAATCACCTTTAATAAGATTAGCTAAAACTCAATTAAAGGAAAAAAAACAACAGCATAAAGCAAAACTACCTAATTAAAACTGGAACACGAAATTGAAACGTTTATACTGAGATCATCATTGATAGCAAAGTGGGGGACCTAAGGTGGAATCCTGCTTGCTTCAGAAATGATATGTTGCTCAAATACACTTTTCTGTGAGCAAGTTGCAATGACTTGCTGTAGAGACCACAATATATGGAAGCAACCAAAAGGATTGAATCTAACAACCTATGATCATTGCTGATGAGGTCATGGCATTCTACTCTCCTGATAGATTGACCCACATTACTTACAGTTTGATTTTAAGGCAACACCTTAACTTCAGCATGAAAACAGATAGCATCAAAAAGAAAGAACAATGTATGGAAATAGTCAAACCTTTCAGACAGTCTTTCCAGATGGACAATGTCTCCATACCACCAGACAGAAAATGGTTGGAGGACAATAAAATTCATGATGTGGAGAGTCCGTCACAAAGCCCAGAGCTTTCATCCTAAAAGCTGGTATAGCCACACATTTTGAAACATTTACCAACACAGAAACATGCAGAGTTATAAAACACTGAGCATGCATGTTTCTGTACACCTGTTTTCATACACCTTAATTTGCATGATATACAGCACACCTGTAGGTTCTGCTTGGACTGCCCTATCCCGACTCTAGTGCAGATTATTATACATGGAAGGCTCCCAACATGTGTTAAAATAACCATTATGACAAGGAGTATGGCAAAAAAGTGGAGTTTCAATTATTTGGAGATAGAGGTGTTGTTATGCATGGTGGAGAGAAGACATAGGACAAGGGTAGGTAACGCTGGTCCTGGAGTTCCACTGTCCTTCAGATTTTCCATGTA